GAGATTCTGGAGGTCAGTGACGTGAGTGGAAGGTGGTGGCAGGCACGCAAGGAGACGGGCGAGACGGGTATTGCGCCGAGCAACTACCTGATCCTGTTATAATGAGCTCATGATTTTCATTTCGCCGTTGGAGATGGGAGCAAAAAATGACCATATGGGACATGGAACGGTTTCGCGCTCAAATGCTTGTTGGAGTACATTAAGGTCTCTTGTCCGGGATAAAACCATTGCCGCCTCTTTTGAGCCACAGGCGGCACACGTATATCCGCCTAAACGGCTTCGCTTTTTTTCTTCTTCGACCTGTTGTTTCTACTTCTATCCGCCCACCACTGCGTGCAGGCTTTCTCCCTATTACTGCTAGTGTATGTTGCCATTGTCGCTCGAGTAGAGGGATTGTGTGTTTTCTTTTTGTGTCTTCTGGGGCGGGTTTCACGAGCAACGGGTCGGTCATTCGGATAGCTATGGTAGCTCGCAGGTGGGATACCCATGCATGTTGGGGTTCCCTTGCTGCTTTACAAATGGCATTTGCATATATTCATATTCCGTCTTCATATTCTCGACAGTGACATTGTGTCATCTTTGCGTGGGATTTATGAGCCCAACAAGTGAACAGCTTATCCAAGCTGGTCATGAGACGGAGGTAGCGGAGACGTGGGCTTTTCCAAGTTATTGGTGTGAAGTCGCTTCGTAAGTCATAATTGACAATCTGGAGATTATGCATCAAGTAAAGGACTTCTTCGTTATCCGTCGTAGGGTATCATAACACTCTCCTTCCGCCCTTCCCTCAGCCACTTTAGCTGGCAAACGATGGAGACACTCGCAGCGAAGTGACATGTCTTGGCCACCAGCCCAGGGCGTCATCTTGCAGCCTCAACACTCAAAATGCGCCTCCCTCCCCCTCTCTCTCTCTCTCTCTCTCCTTCTCTCAAGCCTTATCCAACCTCTTCCTCAACTCCCTTTCCTTCGTCAAGACCTCCAGCTCAAGCCTCTCAACACTATACTCCAACCCTTCCCTCCTCTGCCTCACAGCCCTCGCCCGCAAAGCACTCTCCCCATTCAACCCCTTCTTCCCACCACTTCCGCTAGTACCAAACCCCCCTCCTCGTCCCTTTGTTTTCTTGCCCCCATACCCATCCTCCTCAGACGGCGCAGCCAACCGGCCCTGCAAGAGCTCGCACCTAGCCTGCAGAGTCTCGATGCGCCGTTCGCGGCGCGCGATTTGCGCGTCGGCGCGATCGAGGAGTTTCGCGATTTGCGGGCCGATTTCGTCGCGCAGCGAGGCCTCGGCGGCGGCGAGGGTGGGTTGGGGGATGAGTTCGAAGTGCCGCGTGGGACGGAGGACGGAGGCGAGGCGGGGAAGGTCAGAAACGCCTGTGTCGAGGGTGGATACGGAGTTTTGGAGGAAGGTTAGGGAGGTGCGGAGGGAGGCTACGCAGTCTGCGTATGTTGCTGCGTTTTGGGACATCGTGTTGTGGTTGCGGTTGTGGTTTTCTCGGTGGGGTGTGGTTTTGTTTACCCCCCGTTTTCGTCGGTAGGTTTGATTGCGGTGTGCTGCACTTTTCTGGTGATGGGGGTGTTTTGAGGTGGTGCCAAGGATGTTTGGCTTCCTCGCTTCGACAAATGCGAGGGTTGGGAGAGAGAGATCGTGTGGCGACGGGGTGTTGTTGGTTGTAGTGTCGATGGTCGAATTGGGCTTGTTTTTGGAGGTTTAGCTTGGAGGGGATGGTTGACAGCAAAGACGGACATCGATTGTTTACAGCCCCGCTAACTCAGGAACAGGCGGGTACGTACCGACTAGGGAATGATGCACGGCCCATATATACCTGGCTCGGTGATGTTCGGTGTGAAGGCACTATCTACAACTCTTGGCACTTAGATGTAGCCGAAAGAGTGGTGATTAAATCACTTTGAGTCCTGGAAACAAGACGCTAAGGCTTTGAGATAGATTTAATAGCCTGCAGTATGGCTATTAATTGAAAACCCATACCACGTCGATGGGCCATCATAATCAAGGTAAAGCGCGATTTCTATACGGGTAGGTGGCCATGGAAGGAGCATAAAATGTCACCCGCATATAGCTACTTCTGAACTTTCTACATCCAGATATATACATACTTCACTATCTATTTTTGCTAGTAGAGCCTTCTAATGTCAGCCACGACTTACATCGGCAGTCATTAAAAGGATCCAAAAATCCAAGGTAGACACTATCAAAAGAGTTCACCCCCCCGGTGCTGAACTGGGGGCTACATCTCTGGTGCACATGCCGGGACTCGAACCTGAAATCCTGGCTTAGGCTAAGCTAGTTGAACAGGCTCGCCCGTAACCATCCCGCCAAACGGCAGTTTGACCTCACCTCACAGGCCTGTGAGGCGCCTGCTGCCGTTGGTGATGGGAACAGAATTGAGGGGGGGTATAAGGGAAGGCTCGCATGAGTGCGCACTGGTGTATTCCACTCATTGCGCCGCGTGGTACATATACCTTGAGGGCTAAGGCGTCTGTGGACAACGACCTGAAGCCACTGGAAAATCATTTACTAGGCGTATGGTAAGACGATGCTCATCGCAACGACAGCAAGGCCTATTCTTCACTTCTACCGTATTGGTACATCTTCTGTTCAATCTTTTACAGTCTGAAATATTAGGTAGAGAGTAACTCCCAGCCCCTGATATCTTGCAAAACATCTTCAACGTGACTAATAATGAACACATCGAGGATCACTGAATATACCTTGAGGCTCATCTTCTGGGACAATGTGCTGAAGTATTGAGCAGCACCTAGTTAGTTGAAAGGATCAAGAAGACGACACGAGCCTTACAAACGTCCCTTTTACCTACCTTAAATAAACCCATCGGAGGAATCGTGGGCCTCGCCCACTTTCTCATCTTTCAACACACACATACGCTGCCTGATATCAGACATCTCTTTTAGCCTCGTAGCAGGTCATTTCCATGGCTTTCAGAAGCATTACAGGGTCTGATGGCCTCTATGGACTGGTTTGGGAGAGCGAAGTCGGATGTGTAGCTGAAAGGCCGCCGTGCTTGTGCGTGCCCTACCACCATGAGTGTGCAGTTTATGAGCTCATTTTGCGGTAACCTACACCACCAATATAGTCTATTACTCGTCCGTCTTCCAAATGCTTATTGATCATCTTCGGAATCGCTCTTTAGCCCCTGATAGAATGGGGCTACCAAGCACCAGTGACTTCATGTATAAATCTTTTCTGATGGCTGTGAATTCTTCAAAGAGAGAGGCCCTTGGTAAAACTTGTGTGATGTTGAACGAAGGTGACCTTGACTGCCGCCAAACGTGAATAGGCGAGCACGGCCTTGCAATGGCATGTATGACTAGCCTCAACCGCGAGTATCATATGAGGTGCCCGGTTTGGAAGGTCAGCCAAACTTCTTCGGCGAGCCCAAATCCGGCTCACTCCGAGAGGCGTGCACCAAGTAGGTATGCGGTCAACTAACATGATGTAAGCAGCCTCCCTTCAGCGATAATCCACGAGTGGCCATAAATTTTGAGGGAAAGAAATGGTTCGCCTATTTGTTGACGCGAGCATACAGTCAGTGCCAGCTGGTCTCACTCTCATTAGCCCAGCAAGATGATTCACAGGTTTTCTCACAGCAGTGGCGTTGTCTTCTGACTACGTGCCAAGCTGAAGGGCCCAAAGTGTCAACTGACACGAGCCATAAAGTGAAGTGGGCGACTTGGAACTTTCATGTGGCGCTTGCAAGCGAATTCGATCAATTTTTTGAGGCTCGATTCGATGGATGCGGTGACTTGACGCCCATGAGAGCGCACTCTTCGACCGTGGCGGCGATGACTATGGTGCTTTGAGCCTCTCACCTCAAGCATTTAAGATGGATGACTGCAAGCACAACTCTTGCGGCGTTCGACGAGTTTATGGCTTGGTTTGCCACGTGAAATGGCTGACAGAGCCGTACGAAGAGGTATCAAATGGCGATGGGATTTCTCTTAAATACCATTAGCCGAAGCCACACATTCTAGCATCCGGAGACGTTACCTCATCGCTTATTCCTGAAGACATCATACCCTGAAGATGCCATTGTCACACTCATTGCCACAGAACTCCTTGACTCTCACAAACACAGGCATTCAAAAGGGTCATCATATCAGTCGTGCACGAAAGTCCGTCTTCATACGGCACTCTGCCAGCTCATCCTTTGTCATGTCCCGAGACCACAACCACCCCTCCGTGCACCCTACAGCAACTTCAAATGTGAGGATTGCCCTCAATTTCAAGCCAATGTGGCATCCATTCGAGACTAACCGTTCCCAGTCATCCACATCAGCCACAAATGGCATCAAGCCAGCGAGCTCAGGTTCATCAGCTAACAGCACCGGCACTGTAACTGTCGCCGTCGTCGTGGGTCTTCTCCTATTGACGATCATCGTTTACATCACTATTACGGAATACCGCAAGATGAATACAACAGAAGGCTTGAGGGTTAGGACGAAGGAAGGCAAAGAGCTGGCATTGGTAGCAAACGGTTCGAGGGAGTCATTTGAGAGTTTTGAATCAGAGTTGAAAGAACCTGCACCTGCGGTAATAGTTTTCTCCCGCATAGCTTCCTAGAGAACAACATACATATAGTTATCAACTCAAGCAAATGAAGATCGATTTCATTTTTCCCACGTATCAATAACGGTCCCGTTGAACTGCTAACCCATGTGCACCATCTGCGATACATTGACGTCTCCGTCGCTCAGAGTCCAATTCCGCCCCGGGAGGAATTGATTGTTTACAATTTCCCCGGTAACTCATGGCTTTAATCCTTTAAGGGTTCGGAAATTACGCAGCCCAAATCTCCAGCCAGCCATCTCCATGCAATGTTAAGTCAAGGTTGGTCCGTGTTTCTTGACTGAGTTCGGTTGTAAGTCGACCTAAGTTCCGGACCCACTCGGATCTAACAGCCGTGCAACTACTCCGGTACGGGCCGGCCGCACGGACGCATTGAGCCCTTCGGTCTTGCGCTATGGCATCTTCTGTCCGTGTAACTGGTTATAAGAATTCTACTTCACGCCACTCCAATGGCCTTACCATTCGAAGAGACCACAAGCATTTAGGTCTCTATCACTTACACTCACACATACTCAATTTTGAGAAATCGCCATTCTTCCCGCTCTACGCTACTTTTCAGCCCACAACCATGGAGTTCAATCTCAGCAAGCCCAACCGCAAGATTCATGCCGGTGTCATATTGACCAAAGGGTAATTACCAAATCATAATTCCTCGGATTCCCTGCCACAAGTAAGCTGAGACATTTACAGCGTCACCGAAATGCTCGACGTTGCACCTTTTGAATTCTTTGCCTGGACCGATAAGACTTCCCGTCAAATGCTGAACCTACCGCAGGAGATGTGGGAGGACGATATCGAGTTTGACCTACATTGGATCACCGAGGACGGCAAACCGGCCCAGATGAAGAGCAGAGCTCAGATTCAGCCAACTGTAAGCAGCACATGGCACCACCGTCCCAGTAGAGAGATTCTCTAACACTGACACCTACCACCCAGGACTCCTTTGAGTCTTGTCCACCCTTGGATATCGCACTCATGGGAGCTCATGACCTAAAGTACAAGACCAGCGAAGCCGAGCTCGCCTTCATCCGCAAGGTTTACGAGCAGTGCAGCGCCTTCTTGACCATCTGTGGTGGTATGTTCCCGCTTCTCGAGGCTGGCCTTCTGGCTGGTAAGACGGCGACTTGCCCCCGCATGATTGTTTCTGCCATGAAGAAGAGTATTCCGGTCGTCGATTGGGTTGAGACTCGTTGGGCACATGACGGGAAGCTGTGGACTTCGAGCTCGCTGCTGAATGGCACCGATATGATGCGGGCTTTTGCTGAGGCTACGTGGGGAGGGAAGCCCAACAATGGGTGGGTCGAGGCGGCTCTCGATATTGGGGGCTATCCTGTGAGAGACGTCGGCTTTAAGGATTTCAAGGGACACCATTACGCTGTCGAACAGCTTCCCTTCTAGGCTTCTAGGCAATTGGGGGAGGATTCTGATCGAATGATGGGCCTTGTGAAGGGTATGCTAAGGTATCAAGTCCGGTGGCATTTGACTATTGTACAAATCAGTGAAGCACGAAAATTTACACAGATCTGATTTCCATGCCTATTCTCGGTGGCAAACTTGAACCCGATGCACAGCGTGACAGCGTGTGGGAGATTCGATTCGTACTGCAAGGGCACTGTGTGAACTGTGTGGGTCTGTCGGTGACTGCCGAACCGGCGGTGGTTCCTGCGGTCCGGTTGTGTGGTTCGTTACTGACCGGTGTGCTAAACTCCGATGCGGAGTGATGTCAGCCCGTCGCACGTCCCTTCCATCTTCATCCACCTTCCTACTTCCCCAGAACATCTCGAACCGTCACCCCAACCTCACGTCAACTCTCTGGAGTCGTCAGAAACTATCCTGAAGCCTCGCACGTCAACGCCACAAAGTTTCAAGCAGAAGTATCTGGGAAACGCCGACAACATGTCCCTCAGAGTTAGTGGGCAGAAGTAGCATCAGAGAGGGCTTCGCTGACAGCAACACACCAATAGACTATCGGCGCAAAGGCGGCCGCGGCCTTGGACAAGGACCTCATGAGCACCGGTGCCTTCTCAATCGACCAGCTCATGGAGCTTGCCGGACTATCCGTGTCACAAGCGAGTGGGTTCCTGCAACGGCCAATGCTTGCTCAAGCTTTCGATTGACACCTTGGTGCAGTCTATCGCGTTCACCCTCCTAGTCGAGGTCTGAACATTCTTGTTGCATGCGGCCCCGGTAACAACGGTGAGTACCCTTCCAAAGATTCCCCCGTCTCAATCACCAAATATCTGACCAGGACCCCTGTACAGGTGGCGATGGCCTAGTGGCTGCCCGACACCTTTGTCACTATGGCTACAAGCCCACTATCTACTATCCCAAGCGGAGCAAGAATGATTTGTATCAGGTGAGTGAAGATGCCATTCGCTTTTGTCTATCTCGATTGGTTCGTTCGGCTCATAGTACATGGGGATGTTCTGGCAATTACATACCATCTATCGGCGACACCTCTTGAGCTCTTGGCCATCCGAGCTCAGAATGCTTTTGTTCTCCTTCCACGCCACGCTATGCAATTGCACAACTCTATGATTCTTCTCTCTAGAGAAGGAGTAAAGAAACTGGCAGCATCTTTGCGTGTATACGGTGCTGCCATAAAAAATCGACCCCTCCCGACCTTCGTTCTCCATGGGGCTTGCCGTTGACCGGTCGTAGCTTTGCTGACTGAAAATTCCTCAGCGGTTGGCGCAGCAGTTGGTGGACTTGGACGTTGCGTTCGTCGACGATTTCCTCACGGCGGCGAAAACTACTGATCATATCGTTGACGCTATCTTCGGTTCGTTCTTTTCCCCCTGTCTAGACCATAGTCCGTTCACGCGCCTGATATTTTGAGGCAAGGGTTCAGCTTTTCTGGAGAGGTCCGGGAGCCTTTCCCCGCGGTGATCAAGGCGCTCGAGGAAACAAAGCTGCCGGTCACTTCGGTTGACGCCCCATCATCGTGGGATATCGAAAATGGCCCGCCCGAGTCCGGCCCCGGGAGTTCGTTCCAACCTGAGGTCCTTGTCAGCCTGACAGCACCAAAGCCACTGGTGAAGCATTTCAAAGGACGGCACTTCATCGGCGGAAGGTATGCCCAATATCCACCATAGCACCAGGCTTGAGAAATTTGTTGGCTGACCTTGGGAGCAGATTCGTATCGCCGGGCATTGCTGAAAAATACAATTTGGAAACTCCGCAGTACGAAGGCATCGACCAGGTAGTGGAAGTTGATAATAACGGCCAGAAGCTGTAAAATCCGTTAGTCAATTGAATTTACCAAAATTTACTGTGTATTAGCCAAGGGCACTTACAGTCGGCTCTTGCTTTCTCTTTTTTCTTTTTCCTTTCCTAAGTTTCTTCCTAAATGACCAAGCAGCCCCCCACGCGGCTATTTGGACAAACAGGACTCGGACATCGCCCGTCGAGCATCTGCATTGGGTGTACTACAACACCCAATGGACACTCCAACAAAGGAGGATGGTATGCTTGACAAAAGGCGACATAGACTAAGAAGAGTCTCCGACAGACTGGGCAAACAGATTTGTGCTCAACACACATGAAAGCCGAGTGAAACAGACGTGGAGCCTCTCGGACAGTGTGTGGCGAGTGATTCGGAGGGCGTGTTTTTGAAAAAGGGCAACATGAGAGTATTGTCCCGGATTGAAATGACTGACAGAGAGAATAATAGGCGAGGTGACCACGGAGGTAGTTGGAGAGCGTGCCAAACCGGTGGCCTTGGTGTGGCTGATATAAACAACAGCTGTGGCTGCCCCGCGACCTTGGTTCGGGTCATCCAATGGAGAGCAAAGTTTTGAAGGAATTGCCACACGATGGGTTCCACCAGGACCCCTTGCTGGGCCGGAGCGTTTTCGACGACGACGGACGTCGCGGACGGAGGATATCGAAGGCTTCTCTTCTGGTTGGTCAGTGCGGACAGGGTCTTCGAACCGGGGCGGGAGAGGCGAGCCAGTACGGATAGTGTACGCAACGGACTCGACGGGGAGAAGAGTTTAGGTGGTGTAGGATGTATGTTGTACCTGGGGGTGGAAGGGCGGGAAGAAAGCAACGGACGAGGGGCGAGTGAACTTGTGAAGGGAAAAGTGGAAGGGGAAGAAAGGTTGAGATGAGAAGGGCAGGGCAATGTTGGCGGCGGCGGAATGGAGCGGATAAGGCGATGACAGTGAAGCACAGTTCTAGTCATACTGGACAAAATTGATTTGTCTGGTTGGGCATATATTTTGGTGCGTTTCCATATCCCGTTCTTTTTTCCACGGTATTCCCCCCCTCTTGATACAGGTACTCTGTACTCCGTACTCTGTACACATTGCCTGCCATAGGTAAACCTTTTTTTTCCCTTCCTTCTCACAGCTGCATCCCCAGGTCAGGCCCATGTCCGGGTCAGGTAAGGTACATTGGAGGGTGCAAAGCCACAACTCTAGGGCCCAAGGCCCCTTCAATGGGGGAACGGGTGGGAATACTCCAAGGAAGGGGAGGTCGCGCGCGGGCAAAAAGTCGAATGGGGGCATCTCCAACTCACGGCATAGAACGAGCTGGGCTTTGCCGGAGCAAAAGCTCCGTCTACCCCTGTGATAGGCCCGAGCGGCAAGGCAGCGCTTACGGGGCCGCATGGAGCACTGCGTGGTACTACCGAACGGGACCCGCTCGTCCTCTTTTTTTCTAGAACGGAGGCTGGGAGACTGGAGTGCAGTGTGCACTTACCTTTACACTTTAGTGATCTTGTGCCAGTTGTGGGAGGAGCCAGATGGAGTTCCACCTTGAGAGACAGTGAGAGAGAAAGTGGAAGCCACGCTTGGTGGCCCTCCACTCACTCTTTCCATTCTCACTTGACTGCGGGAAGTGAGCGGTAGGTACCTTCCATTGCTGACGAATACCTGTACGGGTGTAAGGTACACAGCAAGGTACAAGATGAAAGTGCCTGGGTTCTAGGCCGTTCCTGTTGACCTCGGAACCCCGTCGATTGGAGTCGGAGCAGAATTGTTGTGTTCATCCAGGGAAGGTCTCACGGTCTAATGTGAAAAGGGGAAAAAGAAGAGACGAAGAAAAGGGTCTAGCACTCTTGTTGGTGATGTGGGATGTAGCAGGTACAATTGCCCGGCTCAGTTGCTCCTGCTCTCGTTCTTCCCTTCATCCCACCTCATGGACCCAAAGTATTTCTGTACCTGGCCCTTCCTTGCCTCGCTTTCCCTCTATCCTCTTCTCTCTTTTTCACTCACATACTTCCGTCATCTTCCTGCATGCCAGCCTTGCGCTTCCTTTGCTTCATCCATCCAACATTGCCCCCCTCAGCTGCCGGGAGTTTTCTCCATCGACCAACACCAACAAGGCGGGCCGGTTCGTCTGCGCTAAACCGTTCACCTCTCGGTGTTTTCTCTTCGCTCCTCGGATGTCAACAACTGCCATTGTTTGGCCTCGGCCTCCGAGTGCCGGTCGTCCCAACGTCCAGTATCTGCATCGAGTCTGGACTATTCGCTCCGGTCGCAATACGGCAGCTCATGGTGCCAATGCTGAGGTGTCGATCTGAGGAGGATGTGGTGGTTCACTGCCCAGACACTTCACGTCAGCAAGGGTAGGACAGCCAGGCGTGGCCGGGCCGCCCGCGTGGCTCTCCGGTTATCTGTCCAGCCAAGGCCCCTGTCGCTCTCAAGCCGAACAACGGTTCGCAAGACGTCATCGACACTACTAGGAATGGGGGTATCCAAAAATGCACCATGGGGCCCGTGGATTCTCTCGACCACGAGGGCAGAAAAAAAAAACCCCCCCCTTCTACTTCAGTCGCGGGACGACGGATCTTTGGCTTCCTCGAAGCTTCGGAGCATCATGGTCTAGTTCGCCTCTATCTCACGACAACATACGATCGGTTATGTCGGACAACGCAAAAGAGTCAATCCCTACCCTTGTCAGGTTCACATGATGAGGTCTGTGTCAATTAGGCACGACACCGTCCTCCACATCCTGAGAACAGTCAAGTCCACGGAATTTGGCGGCGTATTAGCGAACTAGCGACCACAGACCTCAGGGTGCCTGCTGTGTAAAGTTTCTGGTGCCTTCGAGCAACATAGCCGCGTCCCGCCCTAAGATGAGACCCTGGACGGGAATGCCCTCTGGGCCTCCCGTCAGGATCAAGCTAAAAGCTACCGGACACAGCGATTAACCTTGACTCGGGTCCCCGCCAAATTGAGGCTGATGCTTTTTCTACTGCAGATGTGGTAGCTTGGAGCACAGCAGTCACGCAGCCACGCAGCCACGCAGACGCAATGGTTGGACCAAAGATGGCCCGTTAGCCTGGCGATCCCTTCGAAAAGACGGATTCTCAGGGATCGCGCCGACCTCAAAAGCAGAAGTCCTGCACAGGCCATGCAGTCTGTCACGCGGATTTGCATAACCCGAGAAAA